ACCGCTGCAACTCCTGTGTAGCCAGGATCTACAGTTTGACCGCCAATAAAAACCCAACCAGTGAAGGTCAAGTTTGTAACGGGGCTAGGATGCGTACCGTGATAAAATCTTATCCATAATAGACGACAAGTGTAAGGGCTTATCGCGTATAATCGATAAAGTGGCGCGATAAATGCTTATCACGGCGAGAATCATGGGCCTACATCTACAGGTTAAGTCAGTGGAGATATAGAGAGGTAAAGATAATATTATAAGTGAAAAAACTGATTCATCCTTATTCAAATCAAAACCATTAAAGCCTGTGTCTACTAGATTTTTTTTGGATGCACAAACTGATTCATTTTCAATACAATCAAAAGAAATAGTTGTTTGATCGCTAACTAGAGTTAAGGTCAAAATGTGTACGTAGATGTGTACGTGCACATACGAAAGTTGCACAAGCTGTTTTGTTTGCGGTATGAACTATAAAACTTGAATGAAGAATTATGTTTTCTATACTTCTTCGTTTCAGCCAAATGACGTCCACTGCTGGACAAAGGCCTCCCCCAAGGTTTTCCACAATGAACGGTCCTGCGCTGCCCGCATCCAGGCTCTTCCCGCGACCTTTACCAGATCGTCGGTCCACCTAGTAGGAGGCCTGACCACGCTACGTCTTCCAGCCCGTGGTCGCCACTCGAGAACTTTCCTGCCCCAACGGCCATCGTCTCTACGAGCTATGTGCCCCGCCCACTGCCACTTGATTTTAGCAATTCTGCGAGATATGTCGGTTACTTTGGTTCTCCTGCGGATCTCATGGAGACATCATATCTCCAAAACTGTTTACCACCGTCCTGGAAGATGTCTTCAAGCTTCTGGACTGGAACGGATTTGGCATAAATATCAACGGCGAGTACATCACCCACCTTCGATTCGCGGACGATATCGTAGTCATGGCTGAGACCTTGGAGGATCTAGGCACAATGCTCGATGGCCTCAGTAGAGCCTTTCTATACTTATTTGTAAGAAAATATAAAGACAAAAAAGTTATGAATGATATAAAATAGTAATAGACAAGATTATCTTACCCCAGTGTTATAGACGCACTTCTTATACAAATTGACGAGTCGGTCGACGGCGCCCTCCCTGATTTCCAAGCTGGGGAGATGGGGCAGAAAGTCGTTGCCGACGAAGAAGCACATGAACACCCAGTCATCCAGCGCCCGTTCGAAGTCATACGGGAAGGGGAGGTTGGGCATCTGCAGCTCTCGCTCCAGGTATTCCCGCAGGACGCTCAGGCGCACGAAGATGAAGCTGTCTTGGTTGCCGAAGGCCGGGTCTGAGCGGACTAGGGCCGCGTCGGGAGTGGTGCCGGTGCACTCTTTCATTTCGTGACCTGAGAAAGTACATTATTTGCTGTAGACTCCCAATAACCTCATACAGGGTGGAAACGAAAAGTGATCTCATTCGATTATTTCCAAACTATACAAGATATCGAAAATCGAGAATCAGTAATCAGTTTACTGATCCTGAAAGTGCTTCACGAGCTCTTTCAAACGATATCAGTAATAAGTTACAGAATTAACTGGATCTAACCGAAAATTCAATTTTTTCAGCTTCCATACATTGAATTTTCAGATAGATCCAATTTATTTTGTGACCTATTATAGGTACCGTTGGATAGAGCTCGTGAAGCACTTTCAGGATCAGTAACCAGTTTTTGGATATCTTGTATAGTTTAGAAATAATCGAGTGAGATCACTTATCGTTTCCACCCTGTATAATGGTGATGGTAACTTCTGATGATAGATTTTAGTGAAGAGCGGAGAAGTGTGGAGCCGTCAAATTTTTTGAATAGCATTTGACAGCGGCGGCAGTGCGGCGCGGAGCGGAGCTGTGCGGAGCGAAGAAGAGAAGTAGAAATAATGAAATCTGATTGGTTATTCAACACTTCTCCGATACCAGCTTTATGCTCTAGGTCCAGACCTAGGGCATAGCACATGCTGAGTGGTTGCCATTTTAGTTCAAATTTAACTACATAAGTAAGTAATTATGTTGTTGTAAGTAGTCTAAGGATGTTTGGACTAAATAAAAATATTTTTCTTTCTTTCTTTCTCCGCTCCGCTCTGCTCCGCCTTGGTGGAAATCGGGCCTTACGAGTTATTATATTACAAACGTCACACAGCCTTGCCATAGATCCCATATTGCCTTTAATGTGTCATCAGCATGATAAAACCCGTATTAGCTCCGCATTGCAAAATGCACGTGCTGCATAAGCCACACGAAATAACTTACCAAGCTGCCCGCAGACGTCGCACGGCCTCGGCTTGTTGGGCTTGAATTCTTCCCTGATGATAGTGAAGTTGGGCTCGTGCGTCGCCAGCCCCAGCATAATGAGATCCGCATCGGCTCCGCAAAGCACGTGCTGCGTGTTCGGATCGTGGTCCGGTTGGGCTAAAAAGTAATAAAAATTAAAGCTGTTTTTAAGAGCGTTTACGCGAAGCGCGGCATTTCAAGGGGCATCATTGGAAATTATTCGCGCGCAGCGTTTTTTAATAGTTTCCAAATGTTTATAGCAAAACAATAACAATGAATTATATATCTTTTCAAAGTAAATATTTTAAAGAAGATGTTATTTTATTATATTAAGCTATTTTTATGTTGAATTAAAGAAGAATAATGGTGTAAAAATCACTTTGATTTTTGGGTATATCACATTCTTTGAATTTGTGATTTCTTATTGTTAAATGCTTAAATCTAAAAATTTTCTCAGATAACTATTTGCCCAAGGATCTATGCTATAGGATATAAATGTTTGTTAAATCGTTTTCACAGTATTTTTATAAAAATTTCAGCTTGTAAACTGACGCTAAAGTGGAAATTTACAAAACCTGTGTGGACTTAACTTGATAGAATTCTTAAATACTAAACTAATCGCAATATTTTCTCAATTAACTATTTAGACGACGAAATTACCTAACTATTTATGCCTATAACATATTTGTAATATTACTGGTTAATGATTGTAACGAGTTGAAAAAGTACTGTTTTTGCGCCAATCGGCGTAAACGCTCTTAAGGTGATATTTCACTTCTTATCTAACTATTGTCGTCAAATACCTGCCTTGTTATGCATAAAAAAAACTAATATAACAGCATAAGTATAATAATGTACTAGCGTTTTACCTCTCGTCATGTGATAACATTGAACAAACTGCAAATTTAATTTTCTACAATAGCACTCCATTCTTTGTATTTTAAGAAACTAGTATTTTGAGATTACCCCTTTGCCTCCTGATGTAGTCCATAATCTTGTGTTCTCCCTCTCCAGGCACGTTTGCGTCTGAGAGGATCACCTTGATGCCCTTCCAGCCAGGGTCATTGTTTAATCTGTTGGTAAATAAGTACACATTAGGAAACTACTATTCAACAAACTGGCCCAGTTCACGCTATGACATGGTTTGGAGAATAAAAAATGAAAAAGGGTAAAATATGTAAAAAATACCTTAAACCTTAAGGTTTTGACCTGAAATTTTTATTTAAAACTAGCTGACCCGGCGAACTTTGTTCCGCCTTAATGTCAATAAATAAGCAGACTTTTTTTATTTCGAACGGGATAAAAAGTATCCTATGTCCTTCTCCTGGCTCTAAACTACCTCCCTGACAATTTTCAGCTAAATCGGTTCAGCCGTTCTTGAGTTATAAGCGAAGTAACTAACACGACTTTCTTTTATATATATAGATAACTTTATTAGTTAAGACTAAATAAATTAGTTATTTTAAATTGTCAAATGCTCTTTTTGTCCTACCAGTAGTGCTTTGAGATAAACAATCTTGATTGTAACTTTTTGTAGTAAAAAAAATACACTTCTCACCTGTCATGAATATAGTAATGAAGGCATTTACTAAGCCTGTCCATGAACGGTGTCCCAGGAGTAATGCAGTTCGAGTCGAAGTGCGCTTCCTTGGGCCTCTCCGGTGGAAGGTACGCCCCTTTGCTTTCAAGCTCGGAGCGGATGCGGGCGATCTCATCGATCTTCTCCTGAGTCTCCTTGGAGGCACGGAAACGACGGGACCTTTGCTGGTTCATCTTTGCTCTGGGTGCCTGTGTAATAACAATGTATTAGCAACTGGCATATTTATTGGCATAATGAGGTTTTTTATTTACAAACTAGCTGACCCGGCGAACTTCGTACCGCCGTAGCGTAGTGATTTTCTTTATATTTTTTTCCGTAAAAACCTTGTACAGAGTATTAGAAAACTACAAAAAATATTAGAATACTACAAAAAAAAATCAGCCAAATCGGTCAAGCCGTTTTCATGTTATGTCGTGACAACGGAAAACGGGTTTCATTTTTATATATATATGAGACTAGCGGCCGCCCGCGACTTCGTACGCGTGAATCCCGTTTTTCCCGCTAATTCCCGTTCCCGTGGGAATTTCGGGAATTCCTTTCTTAGTGCACCTCTACGGTACCTAAGCTACGTCCCTTCCAAATTTCAAGTGCCTACGTTTAGCCGTTTAGGCTGTGCGTTGATCTGTCAGTCAGTCAGTCAGTTTCTCGTTTTATATATTTAGATGAAAATTGAACAGAACAAAATAGATATTCACAAAACTAGGCATTAAGGCTAGGATATGGCCATAATAACTTCCTTTTAAAAATTAAACAGACACTTAATTATTTCTATAAAATATAAATGGTGCAGCAATGGTGTTACAACTGAGTTATTTAGTTTCAAAAATGGTCAGCCAAATTAAAATTGACCAGAGGGTAGAATTTGTATATTCCTTACTCAAAGGACTTTTAACTTGTTTCAGGCGCGGATCCAGCCCACAAAAATTAGCAAAGTGAGAGTTGGATCACTACATGCCCGGACATACATACATGATACATGCCTATCGATCTTATCAATAGATTATAATTAAAACAAGCAAATTAGGGTTGTGGGCATGCCCACAGTGCCCACAACGGTGGATCCGCGCCTGACTTGTTTTACCATTATGTATTAACTATCTCTGTCAATTAATTAGGTAAAATTAATACTTTTGAAGCAGCAACTTACCACACCATCAATGGCCATGTACAGCAGTTTCCTGGGCCTGACGATGCGGAACAGCCTGTCGATGCATTCAAAGATGGCCACCATCATCTCGTCCTCATCTTTCGGGGGAGGCTTGTCCTCAGGATGGGTACAGGGATGGATTATTCCGTTCATGTCCAGGTACAAATTGTCAAATTCCACCCCATTGGGGTTTGGTAACGAAGAATCAACGTACACGAGCTGACCATCTACGTCGGTTGGCTGAAAATAACAAAATATAGACGTTTCAATCGAAAATCATTCAAGGTAATGTACATCATGTAAGTAGACACAACGAAAATATTGCGTGGTTGATGGTAGTTTTCTAGTTATGTCAATGAATTTAGATATTTATTGCCATTATAGGCCAATGAATCGCAAAGATACAGAGAAATACAATTTAAAAAATACCACGGTGAAAAATACCACAACATTTTTAGGTTAGGAATACATTTTACCTTTTGTTCAATACATTCTACAATAACACTTGGATATTTACGGCTGAGCCACCGAAAAAATGCTGGAACTCCCATCTTGACACACTTTTACACTCCCGTTTAAAACAATTTAGTTGAAATCAATTTATTTACGTATTCAACACAAACAAATCGACACAGGTGCCATTGTTTAGGAAAGAGAGAGGGAGGCATAGAGAAAAGTAATACATAGGAAAAGAGAGGGATAAATAGAGTGAGTGAGATAGAATTAGTGTAGTGCACGTTCGGAAACATGACGTTCGAAAACCAAAGAAGAGTTATTTGAAATATAAAACAATATTATTTTATAGTTATTTGTATTTAAGATATTTCTTAATATTTCTATACATTAATTTCAGTGGCCGGTTAGATAAATTACATGATTTGTTAGATAATTAACATATAAATGAAATAGTGATGTCCCATAGTATTCATGAGTTCGAAAGCCGACCGAAAAAAGAAAAAGTGTCGGGAAATATTTTTTAAGAAATATTTTATTACATACAATCATTAAAACAAGTTTTTTTCTTCTTTGGCTCTCGTGAAAAACAAAAGTTTGGCAAATCAGCGGAATATCAGCGTCGAGGTTACTACGTGCTTGGCATAAGCTGAGCGAAGACCAGTGGGTCTAGACAAAGTGCAAATTATAATCGCAAACCAGTCGAAAAGTGGTCGAAAAGCCCCTTTTTTGTATGGAGTTTTGACGGATTCGATTTTCGATTCGATCAAAAAGTGCGTTTTGTCTAGGGGGGCTGTTTGGTACAATTTTATTTTTAATTTTAAGTTTTTTTAATTTGTAATTTGTATTGTGTTGTGCGGCCAAATAAACGTTTTTTTTTTTAATTATAAAAAAAATGTTTTGTTCCAAAACTAAAAAAAATACACTTTCGAATGGGATGAATCTATTTTTGAAGCGATCAAAACGTGCCTCAAGGACCTAGTAGGCAAAAGTAGTATGTGGTCGTAAAGTAAGATTAATTCTATGTAACATACATACCGAAACGTTATATTCTACATCACTACCATAGAGAAAAGTAATACAATCACTACAACGAATCTTTCTGGCTGGTCTGTCAAATGTCAGCTGTCAAACTCAAACTCTTGTCATCAAAATCAATCAAAATCAGCTGAGTGCTGGGGAGTGTGAATTTGGGGCCGTGCAAATCAAAGAAAATGAAGACTTTTTGCTATGTTAATTATTACAGAAAACTTCTTAGAAAAGCACCTATACGAAATTACTCTTCTAGTGCAAGCGATAGTAATATTGAAAATATAAGGAATATTGGTATATTAGCCCACATAGATGCAGGTTAGAATTTAGTTGTTATTTTATTTTACCTTTATAATATCCCGCAAATGGTAGCTCATAATTGGCCCCCTTTTGCTTTTCATTCAGTTCGGTCAAATTCCCTAATACATTACTTGAAAAAGAGCCATGAAAATTCCAACTGGAGGCTGGAGGTTATGTTATGATCATACTAAGAACCAATCTGTTTCCATTAAAATTCTCCATAAATACATAATTTAAGGAAATACCCTCTGACCAATAAATAAAAACGGAGAATGGAATCATAATATAAACATTAAAATAGTGTACAAGATTGATTTGTAGTGGTCTATTTCAATTTCAGGTAAGACTACCACAACCGAGCGCATGCTCTTCTACTCCGGCAAAATTCGGTCCATGGGAGAGGTACACCATGGGAACACAGTCACCGATTACATGGAACAGGAGAGGCAGCGTGGAATCACCATTACATGTAAGAACTAGCACTTAAAGTCATTAAAGTTGTGTTCTGCAGTTCACATCTGAGTATTTTATTTAAAAAGTTCTATGTGTACCCTTGTGTGTGCGTGTGTTATTTGAGTGGTCAAAGATGATGAGATATTAAATTGTTACTTGATATTCCATGAACAGCTGCTGCAGTGTCGTTCCCATGGAGAGGCAGCCAGATCAACTTGATAGACACCCCGGGGCACATTGACTTCACCATGGAAGTGGAACAGAGCCTTGCTGTGCTTGATGGGGCTGTGATAGTCATGGATGCTTCTGCTGGTAAAACTAATAATTGAAGTTGAGCTATTCTGAAGTATTTTTCCACAGCTGACTAAGATTAAAGAACCAAGTTATTGTTTAATCTACTACTACCACCACCATCAAAAGGTTTTAAAGTTGAAATAGTGCATGTAGTTTGTGGGAGTAACTGATGATAAAGATTTTTTTAGTCAGGGATGTCAAAATTCATATTTAAACTTCTGATAAGATAGAGACCCAGGAAGTTACAATATCTGACTTGTAGCCACACTCTTAACACATGTAGCTACATCAGGCAAAAGATACTTTTTGAGTCATGCCACAAATTCCAATCATTTATTCAGTATTTTACTTAGGCCCTTTTCAAGGCAAAACTTGCCTTCCCGCCACTTCAGGACAACATATGTAATGTGACCTGAATGTATATTATTCAAAACATCCCTACAAAAATACACTTGCTCATAATCATTGATCGATTGGCGACGATATGGGCTGGTGTTGAAAAGAATTGGTGGAAGAAACTCAGTCACCTGTGTCAACCTCTTTTTCAATTATCCCAACTTAGGCCCAGAACAGACGGTGAAACGCAACTGCAACGAAACTGCAACTGCTAGTTACTTTTGAGTTGCATCTAAGTTTCTGCCATAGCGTCCGTTGAGAGATAACACATGACGCGACCAGTTTGAAACTTTCAGTTTCAGTTTCATTCATCAGAATCATCAGAAAGTTGCAGTTTCGTTGCAGTTGCGTTTCACCGTCTGTTCTGGGCCTAAGAGTTTTCTTGATTCTGACTATATTATTGCAGGAGTAGAAGCGCAGACGCTCACAGTGTGGCGGCAGGCCGGCGGCTACCGCGTGCCGCGGCTCATCTACCTTAACAAGATGGACCGCGCCGACGCCGACCACGCTGCGTGCGCGCGCGCCGTCAGGGACAAGTTGCAAGCGCAGCCGTTAGTGCTGCACGCGCCCGTGCATCATGAGGGACGGTTTATAGGTGCGGGAAGGATCAGTTAGATTATGAAAAGGTTTAGGATCCAGATAGCCTTAAATTGAAACCTACACTTTTGGCATAACAACCCTTATAATCGGCGGGCATTATCGGCAACGGGCACTAGGCACTTTTTTGTTCCACATATTCTTCCGATTTTAATGAGGTGTTGACCCGAATGAATTAACCGAAATGTAAGTACTTAGTAATTTCTTCGGGTCGGCATTGTCGTAAAACAAATACTGCCGAGCCGAAGATGCCGGCCCAAATGTGTGTGTAGCACTAGCAACCCTTACTCCTATGTTGTCGTACTTTCGTTTGTGTTTTATCTGAAAATACTTTATGCACTAATTGCCCATATTTCAGGTCTCATAGATTTAATCACACTAGAAGAAGTAATCTGGACGCAAGGCCGTGGTCAGAACTTCATCCGGCGAAAACTGACTGAAACCAAAGACGGCCACAAGTGGGAGACCTCTATGGACAGCCATAGGCAACTCGTCGACACTCTATCTTCTATGGACGACCAGCTAGCCGACACTATCATACAACAAGAATCTCTGGATAATTTGAAAAGTAAAGACATTGAAGCAGCAGTTAGGAGATGTACCATAGACATGAAAGGGTTTCCATTGCTTTGTGGTAGTTCATACAAGAATATAGGAGTTCAGACGTTGATGGATGGTGTAATATCTTATCTGCCTTCTCCGCTGCAATGCAACGAACTGTATAAGTGTTTCGGGCAGGACTTGGCTGCGCGTGCGTTTAAAGTACAGCACGACGATCAGAGGGGGGTTCTGACGTTCTTGAGGCTGTATGGAGGAGAGATCAACAAGGGACAGAAGATATACAACTTGGCCAGGGATCGAAGTGAACAGGTATACACAGAAAAATAATGATTTTGTTACTATTGCAGTAAAATACTTAAAACAGTTGTTTAACCTGTTTTGCCTGTATTTTTATTCAGGCTGGGGCTTTATACGTAGCTCTCGCGGACGAATACAAGCCAGTTGAGACGGTCACCGCTGGGAATATCGCTGTCGTTAGTGCTCTCAAGGTCAGTGTTACCAACATAATATTTTGTGAAGTTAGTACTTACTTTGAAAATTATAAATAAGGGGGCGTCCATAAATTACGTGAGGCTTTTAGGGGGGGGAGGGGGTCAACAAAAACCTCACTAAATCTCACGTGGGGGAGAGGGGGGGTCTCGGGAAATATCACGTATTTTTTTCCACAAGAAATAGAGAAATAGAGTTTGCCAGAAAATTGTGTTTAAATCTTAAGTAAAAAAATGGCCAAGTGCGTGTCGTGGCACGCGCAGTGTAGGGTTCCGTAGTTGTCCGTCGTTATCACAATATATTTTAAAAGTAAGCAATTACTTCATCTAAAGTCACTTTTAAAATTTTCTTCTAAGGAATTTTTGTTAGGTATGAAATTTTATAATACATGAGTAAAACGACTATTACTCTTGAACTAACTGATCTATCTTAACCGCTATAGTTTTCCTTGAAAGTTCATAAAAAAGCACTATAATCTTGAATTTTTCCAGATTTATCAAGCCAACAGTTTAGTTTTTAGCGGGGAGGACGCCCTACTCGAACAAAAATTGGCATTTTAAACATAAACATTTTGCAAACGGATCCCTAAATCGAAAAATGGTCTTAGAAACCCCTAAGCCATTTTAAAAGACCTATCCAACGATACCCCACACGATGGGGTAGAAGACGAAAAAAGAAATTCATCCCCACTTGTAAAGGGTAGGGGAGCTACGCTAAAAAAAATTGTTTTTCAAAATTTAATTCTACCGTTTTGTCGGCGTGATTAATATAGGCATGTATTTAAATGATCTTTTTAAATTAGCAAAAATGGCAAATAAAAAAATCTAAATGGTCATCTATTTTAATGATTGATCCTCTTTCTTTGAGACATAAAATAAATGAAATCGATCGATATTTTAACCTCTTTTGAACTACGCAAAAAAAATTTGAGATGTAAAAATTATGTCTGATCGTTACTTGTTGGTCCTCAAAAATATAGGAAATGAGCACCAAATATTCAATATTGTGATACTTTTTTAAATAATTCGATTTGTATAAATTATTTTTTATCTATATCAAATAATCTTCAAAATAATTATGTTATGGTACTTATTTTTATTAAGTTGTAGTCAAAGGATGGAAACTATTTAAAGGCACTTGATGTTTAAAGATTTTTTTTTATTAAAAAAGCATACTTAACACGTTCACACTGCGTTATCGGGTCGAATTGACCTTAGGTGCTGGATGCGTTGGTGCGGGATGATATATTCGGTCTTTTCAGTAGTACGAAATATAAATATTGTTTTGCAATTGTTTCGTCAAACACAGTAAATATTTGGAAAAGAAAACTTATCAGGTCCTTACGACCCGATGTCGCACTAAAAGTAAACAAATATCGTTTAGTGCTTTTATCGTGTCTAATCGACCCGTTGACAGATGACTTTATGGTCACTGATCACGGTCGAGATCGGTATACTAAGAGAAAATCAACCTTGCGATTTGAAAAAAATAAAGAGGTAAAAATTATGATGTCGGGTTCAGGGATGTCAGAAGTAAGAAATTATTTTACATAGCGCCTCTAGTCCCAAACTAAGCAAAGCTTGTAATTTAAACAAACATGGCAATGTACCATTCTGCTTGCTTATTGGCCGCTAAGCCCTTGGCCAACTCAGTAACCAATGACGGACGATTGTCACTCAACCACAAAGTACCGCGTAAATTAAAAGATATTTTTTAATTAAAAATATTAACCAATAATATTTTTTGTTAGATCAAATATATTTTAAAGTTAAGTTATACATAGATCGAAATGTATTTATTAGGTGATCAATATTAAAAGGCAAACTTGATATAAAAATCATCAAATTAACAAAATTAAAGATCAATAACTAAAAAAGAGGATCAAATATTATTTTTGTTTACCAAATATTAAAAGAGTATATTAAACATGAATATTATGTTACCTTTAATGAAGATCATTCATAATTTATCCGTAGATCAACTAATATAGACCCAATAATTAATATAAAGATAAAATATAATAAAAAACATCATTTATTTTTAAAAGTGCACATACAAAAAAGATCAATTAGTTTTTAGAGGATCAAATAATATTGTCCCATTAATATACATACCTCTACAAAATTACAGCTCCCTAGTGCCAATAGTTTCCAAGCAAAACCTCGGACAGACAGACAGCCAGACATATCGAAACTATAAGGGTTCCTTGTCAGGACTAAAAAATGATATTTGTATGATGATAATGTCATTTTATTCTATACCGTCTAAACAAATAAAACTAAAAATGCTTCCGTCTGCATGTGTGAATACTAAAATGCAGAATAAATGACGAAATTAAGAAAATTATAAAACAAGTTCTTTTTTTATCAAAATCGATTTTTCTAGATTATTTGTGATTTTGTAGAAAGGAACAATTAGACTAGGTACTTCTGTAAAAAAACAATGTGACCCTAGTACTAACCACTGTCACTACACGTGTTTTTCTGGATCTATTCGTAATCAGTGGGCTTAGTGCGATTTTACATCAATCGTCATCCGCTAGCGACTGCGTAAAAAATGACATACATTAAAATGTATGATGATTGTACAGCGTCCCTAGCAGATACTTTCAAGAACTAAAATCTTCAACTTTATAGATCTTTTTAATGCACTCATTAGCGACAACGTTAAAGCACACAAAAAAACAATGTTTCTCAGTTATATTACTCCAAAACTATTAATTTCGGATTTTTTTAAATATCACGTGAGATTTGGGGGTTGGGGAGGGGGTCAGGCAAAATCTCACCAAATCTCACCAAGGGGGGCGGGGGGGTTGAAAAATAGCCAAAATTGTCTCACGTAATTTATGGACGCCCCCTAACTTGAAAAAATCGAAATGCCTAAGACGGGAATTTCAAATATCAAATTAGTGTGAGATGCGAATCTTAACGCTAAAATTAAATAACTTAGTACTTACTGACTAGATTTGTAGCGCTATCATTTTAGCTTGTATGTTGTAATTTGTGCAAGTAAATAACAACGATCAATTAAATTCATTTGACATCAGCTCCTTCGAAGTGACTGTAGCGCTTTTAGGCAAGTTCATACTTTTTCTGCAAGATTTCCAAAGGGGGGCAGCTGCCCAACCCATCCGAATGGGCACGCCCATTATTATTATGCTCTAACCTATTTTCGCATACCCTTATTTTCCTTAAAGACATGAGTAAACGTAAACTACAGCTTCATTCCAGGCGACGATGACCGGCGACCTGGTGACGTCAACGCAGTCGGCTGCTGGCCGCGCCAAGGAACGGCTTGCAACCACCCTGAAGCAGCAGGATAAGGTGGAACAGCTGATGCTGCCGAGCGCCCGTCAGAGACTCCAAGCTTTGGAGACAGAGCCCAGTAATGAGGAGTTAGCTGACGTGCTGTTAGGAATCGGTAAGTCCAAAGATGTAAAAGCCTGTTTTATAATGAAATATTGGATGAAAAGGAACATGTATTTTAATTATTATTGAGAACCTGTCAACTTTTCAGTTACAGATTGCACCATTTGTTTTTACTAACTTGCCAAGTTGCCTTTTTAGCGCCAATAAATGAATATTGACTCCATATTTTGAACTTTATATTCATGAAAATGTTCAACATGTTGTGTCCTATACAGAGGATTGGTTAAGTTCTTTTGACTAATGATTTCACTCTTCATAGACCTAAAATTGCTTTGTGTAACTGGGTTGGTACTAAAAAACGTAAAAAAAGCATCTAATCACAGAAAATCACGCTTGACGTGTCTTGCGTGATTATATTTCTAGTTTTGCTTATTTTTCATGTGTCGTGATTCCCAGGAACCACAATCCCCGAGCCAGTGTTCCTGTGCTCCATCGAGCCTCCGAGCATTGCGTACCAGAACGCACTTGACATAGCACTTGCCGAGCTCACCCGGGAAGACCCGAGTCTTCGCGTCTCCACCGATGACGAGACCGGCCAGATGGTCTTGGCTGGTAAGCATTCCCGTTATCCATAGCCAGTACAGCTAGCACGAAAAACTTTCGAGTTCAAATCGTTTGCGTACTCGAATCGCCATCAAAAGATTTAGTAAGAAAACTGCAACAGCGCCCTTGTGAACGTGTCGTAAAGTGAACTTAGTAGGTATGAGATGTGCTTGCACGTAACTTATTTTGAGAATCAAAATTGTCACGTTATCGTTTAATTCGAAGATTGAGTATCGAATTTTATCGAGTACGCAAACGATTCGAAGACGAAAGTTGTTCATGCTAGAGGTACAGTTCTCAAGCATTTCTGCTAAAGCAGATTAGATGCCTGAAAACCTAGCTTAGACCCGTGCAGGTTGCCTCGTTTATTTCTTTAAAAAAATATAACACGCAGAAGAATAAAACAACCACTTGTAACACATATACATTTTTTGAACATGTAATGTCGAACAAGCAACATAGAGAAATATCTCCATCGATACTAACGCTTCTTCTATCGATACTCCATCTAAAATATGAGCACTCACGGCAACTCATCTCACGGTCCATTTACAGGCATGGGCGAGCTTCACCTAGAAATCATAAAGGAGCGAATCATCCGCGAGTACAAGATAGAAGTGGAACTAGGGCTGCTTCAGATCGCCTACCGCGAGGCTCTGGTAGGAACCGCTAAGCATACCCTAGCGGTGGACAGGAAGATCGGCAGCTTCAAGCAGCAGGTCAAGATCACCATGTCTGCCAAGAATGCGAAGGTCGCGCATGATAAGGTGTTGAGGTCAGTTTAGTTTTAGTACACGATTACCCATAGACTGAAAATACTCTTGAAAAAGTATTACACAAATTATGTATGTCACAAAAAGTAGACCCTGAATTGTGTTATCAGGGTCAGAGAAAATTTATAGGTATACCAATTTTTTCTGTCATTTTTATTTTGTTTGCGGACCTCATGGATATGTGCGTGAATCCCGTCCCGTCCCAGCATAGTGGATTTCCTTGGGGCCGCGAACCCTAAGTTGGACTCTCAATTGACATTAAGGGAGAAGTCACACGGTGCGGTGCGGTCGCGGTGCCGGAGCGGTGTCGCTGCGGCGTCCTTCATATAAAAATCAATGATATGCCAGACGGTGCGTTCCGGCGCCGCACCGCAGGCACACCGCACTTCGATTGAGCGAGACGGTGCCGTTGCCGTTGCGACGCCGCATACCACATGTGTACAGTCTGCAGTGCTGCGGCAAAATTTCCCTAAATTCACCGTATGGCTTCTCCCTAAATCTGCACTGCTACGTTATGTTACAAACAATCGCACCTCTTATTAGAAATCTTAAATCTTGTCTCCAGGCTAGACAAATCGGCCGAAAGCGCGGCCAACCTGTCTCACATCCACCCTCGCACGCTGCAGACCATAAACACCGCCGTCGCCACGGCCCTACAGCACGGGCCCAAGCTTGGCTGCCCGGTAAGTTCCCCTAGATCTTTAACAAACTTACACAACTACTATCACAACTTATTTTAGCTCTTTTTTCTATATCCGGCTCGAAGGACCAATACTATTGAGTACATGATTCCTTTAATTACTTGTTACATCAATAGAAATTGTATGTACAAATAAATAATAGAACAATCAGTTTGTGTATCGTATTTAAAGGGTAAATTCGGTAGCCAAATTGTGAAGCAAAAAAAGATTGTTTGCAAATCATTGTTCGATGCAAAAATCACAAAAAAAAATTACGCGTCTCGCGTGCTTCTGATTAGCATCTTACTGTCATGCGCCTAATGTGTCTAAACTGAGGAATGATACTCCCCTGCTCTTGTGCTCTCTTGACAAGACCACCCTGTATAATTTATTCTTGTTGATCCCCTGTCCATTCCTTGCTCTCGCGTTCTTGACATGACCATCCTATACAGGGTGGAAACGATAAGTGATCTCACTCGATTATTTCTAAAATATACAAGATATCACTGATCCTGAAAGTGTTTCACGAGCTCTATCCAACGGTACCAATAATAAGTTACAAAATAAACTGGATCTATCCGAAAATTCAATGTTTCCAGGTTCCATACATTTAGTACTGCCACAGTCATGGCACTCATGTCTTGATACTATTATAGCAAGTAAAGCCTAAAACCAATGTTTTTCAAGAATAATTTTAAATAAGAATGCAATTGACGAGTTCAATTTAAGTGTTTATTATTTAATAAAAAAAATTAACACTTCTAATATTGTGTGGCTGGCATAAATGGCAATGCCAGATTTTGTATGGAAAGTGGCGTCTTTTTTTTTTCGCGCGGCCATCTACCAAACTTTGTTTTTTGATTACAAAATAGTGTAATAAACCAAACTTACTATGGCATGTATACCTCTAAACTCAGTCTGAACTGAGTTACGAGCATTAGAAGTTTGATGATTTTCATACTAGATTTGCTTTTTGTGCGCAAGTTTTGTAAGAAATTGCAACAAAATATTGCGCTATTTTTTATTGCGCTGATTCTGCTCCATACTGATGTCTGGAGCCTTTAATGGATGATATTGTTTGTTTACACATACAATTTTACTATTTTGTTGCAATTTCTTACAAAACTTTGCGCGCAAAAAGTAAATCTAGTATGAAAATCATTAAACTTCTAATGCTCGTAACTCAGTTCAGACTGAGTTTATAGGTATACATGTTTTAGTAAGTTTGGTTTATTACACTATTTTGTAATCAAAAAACAAAGTTTGGTCGCTGGCCGCGCGAAAAAAAAAAGACGCCAATTTCCGGCATTGTCTTTTAGTATGGAGGCTGAAAACATTGAATTTTCGGATAGATCCAGTTAATTCTGTAACCTATTACTTATACCGTTGGAAAGAGCTCGTGAAGCACTTTCAGGATCAGTAACCAGTTTTTGGATATCTTGTATAGTTTAGAAATAATCGCGTGAGATCACTTATCGTTTCCACCCTGTATAACATTGTTGTATTGGTCCCCTGGGTAGCTGGTGGACGTGCAGGTGACGCTACACTGGCTGGAAGTGACGCGCAGCACGTCCGACTCCGTGCTCGGCGCCACCGTCGTGCAGTGCCTCCGGAAGGTCAGTGACATCTAACGTACTTGGAATAGGCCAGTCAAAAATACAGTGTACAAAAATACAATTTATTGCAAAAAAATGAGATTTTTGTGCTGCTTGTTTTGGATACCCGGAAGGTCAGTGACATCTAAAGCACTTGGAATAGGGCTTATTTTGTGATGTGCTGTACAAAAAATACAATGTGTTACAAAAAAAAAACTTTTGTGCTGCTTGTTTTCGATACTTTTTTTTACATAAATCACGTTTCCACTAATATCTCAGATATTACGTAACGATAGCGAAAGACGGCCCCATTGACATATTTATGAAACTTAAAAGCAGAGGCGACAATAATCAACGTCGGGCAACGGGACATCGGTCATCGGTCGGTGAGCATCAGACTGCCCACAAAAGATTGGAGAGCGCTAATTTGGTCCCCATCAACCGCTAGATTATCGTAGTAACACCTAACATGACGAGGTTATTTGGGTTACTTGGGATTTGTTTACAATAAAACTACAACCTGATCGAGCTAACTGCGCACCTCGTTGAAATGCGACTCTCCCTCCCACTTACCCGCACATCTCCCCGCGTTCGTAGCAGAGCGTCGATGTGACGTCACAGTGGCCTGGTGCGCAGTTGACTCGCCCGGGTTGTATAACCTTTTTTACAGAAGCCTATTAAAACAATATCTTTTGCTGTTATCGTAGTAAGGCGGTTATCACACTGCGACGGAGCGCGGGGCGACTGATTTAATAATTGTATGCAAGTACCTCAGTTTGTATGGAAAACACGCGCGGCACTTCACACTGACAACGCGTCCGCGCGCGTGAATTTTTATATGAAATCACGCGCTCCGCGGCGGAGCGCAGCGCAGTGTGATAACCGCCTAAACTGTTCGTATATTGCCAGGTGTTCGAGGAAGCAGACTCAATGCTGCTAGAACCTGTGATGTCATTGGAAGTAGTGTGTCCCGAAAGCCACGCGGCGCGAGTGTTGACCGACCTCACGCGGCGCCGCGCTGAGATCAGACACATACAGCTGCGACACCAGAACAAGGTGAGTTGGGGCATTGTAGCTTCTATTGCCAGCAGGTGTAGACTCAGTCTTGCTTGAACCTGTGTCGCTGGAAGTAGTGTGTCCCGAGAGCCACGCGGCGCCGCGCTGAGATCAGACACATACAGCTACGACACCAGAACAAGGTGAGTTGGGGCATTGTAGCTTCTATTGCCAGCAGGTGTAGACTCAGTCTTGCTTGAACCTTGATATCGCTGAAAGTAGTGTGTCCCGAAAGCCACGCGGCGCGAGTGTTGACCGACCTCACGCGGCGCCGCGCCGAGATCAGACACATACAGCTGCGACACCAGAACAAGGTGAGTTGAGCTATTGTAGCTTCTATTGCCAGCAGGTGTAGACTCAGTCTTGCTTGAACCTGTGATGTCGCTAGAGGTGGCGCGAGAGGCAATCTAACGCACGTACAGCTGCGACACCAGAACAAGGTGAAACAAAGCATTTAATCTAGGGGCTAAGTAACTGGCAACTTTGGCCAGAAAAACTGCCTTCGGAGAAAAACATTCAACTGTTGCGTGCACATCTAACTTGCGGCAACGACATGAAGGACTAGCTTCGGTAAAAAATAAAGCTTGGGCCAAAAAACATCCTTGACCAAATCGTTTATTTAATCATTTTATCGACCCTTTCGACCAAAAAACTACTTTAGCCTATATGAGCCAAAGTTTTGGAAAAAGCCAAGGGTTTTCAAAGATAACGCGAACTGGTAGTGACAAAAAAAGCGAAAGGTCATCTATGACGCATCTTGGGGGACGTCCAGTCGTTGCGTTTTAAAAAATTGCAAAGGCAGACTTGCCTTTGCAATTTTCTAAAATAATAATGATGACTATAAAAATGATGATGATTATTACAATAAAATAAAATCTCCCAGGTGATCGAGTGCCTCGCGCCGCTGTCCGAACTGCTGGGCTACTCGACGACACTCCGGTCTCTGAGCTCGGGACTGGCATCCTTCTCCATGGAGTTCCACTCCAACCGCCAGATGGCACCGCACGACGAGGAGAAGGCCATCAGAAACGTCACCGGCTTCTGATGTCACAGTGAGGATTATTGAAGTTTTTATTGTTTTGCCTTAACACAAATGGGGTAAGGTTTAAAATGGAGTGGCAATAGGGCAAGAACGGAAGAAAATCTGAAGAAAGGATAGTTTAAGCCTTGATCACACGTACCGAGTAATCGAGCGAGACAGTGCTCTCGGCCGAGTACTCGGTGCGTATGAACATAGCGCCGAGTGCTCGGCCGAGCAAAGCGGCGAGACAGTAGCTCGACTCCCGTTCTACTTACTAGGCCGAGTGTCCACCCTCCCGCTGCCCCGCACTCTCGCTCGCTCGCTCGGCAGGTCTGAACGTGCACTGTCTCGCCACTCACCACTCGGCCAAATGATTGACGTCACGTCCACAGATTAGAGAAAAAGAAAAGTCTCAATAAAACTGAACTGACTGTGCTAATTTCAAAACACGTGTGAACAGCTACTCGCTTACATCATTGTCTCGACCGAGTAACCATTTTAGAATCTCGCCCGTTTACTCGGTACGTGTGATCAAGGCTTTAGTGGCGAAAGTAAATAGTGGCTAGAAATAAAGCCTGAGGGAGATCGAATAATAAGTAGAAAGAGTCAGGTGCGTTTTTAAAAATGACCTCTTTTACGGAGAATATAGATATTTTTATTAAATCATTGTAAACGCGGATTTATAAAACGTTTGCACCCCACTTGTATCAATAATATTGGGACGTTACACTTGAAATCACGTCCAAATTCACTATTTAGTGTTGTAAATAGCTTTATCCATAACAAGATGTGGCTAGTGCATACAATAATATGCTGTGATTTAATTTTATTTTGTTATCTTAGTTATAAACGAATATAACCGTGTTACGAGTAAAGTATAACGTCTACTTTGCATTATTTTATAAAAAATACAAGTTAATAATCAAATCACCGTATAAACCTTTATTTAACATGATAATGTTAAGACAAAAATTTAAATAAACGAAAATACATACACATTCACCACTTTCTTTTAATTTTCGCACAATAAACTTTACCTGAAATAAAAAGAGACGATAAAATATTGAAAGAAGGTATACTTACGTAATGTGTCGATTAATTAACCTATTATAATTTAGTTTCTTTCTTCAAGCTACAGGCACCTCACACTGTCTCATAAAAAACATGAATAGGGTTCAGTACGGCTAGCACAAAAAACTTTCGAGTTCAAATCGTTTGCGTACTCGAATCGCCATCAAAAGATTTAGTAAGAAAACTACAACAGCGCCCTCGTGAACGTGTCGTAAAGTGAACTTGTATGAGATGTGGTTGCAAGAAACTTATTTTGAGAATCAAAATTGTCACGTTATCGTTTAATTCGAAGATTGAGTATCGAATTTTATCGAATACGCAAACGATTCGAAGACGAAAGTTGTTCATGCTAGAGGTACTGGGGGCGTAGTGTGAGTTTACGTCAAAAGTCTTCACTAGTGAGCGCGTTAAAAAAAATACGAAAATTTTAGTTCTTGAAAGTTTCCGGTAGGGGCGCTGTACAATCCGTCATACATTTAATGTAATTTTTACGCGCTCACTAAAGCCCGGTCCGTGAGCACGTAGAATTTTGTCCAATGACCCCAAGCTACCCATCCTTATCGCTCGCGCGTAATTATGTTGCTGTCGCGCTCGCACACTCACTGCGGGCACCCGTCGCACAGTCGCGACAGCAATATAAAGTAATTACGCGCGAGCGATAAGGATGGGTAGCTTGGGGTCATTGGACAAAATTCTACTTGCTCATGGACCAGACTACAGTGAGGACGTTTGATGTAAACTCACACTAAGTCCTCAGTTGACCTCTTTTGGGTACGGAACCTTAAAAAACTGTATCTGATTAGTCAGGCCTCCGCACGAGTTTTAGCGAAGTCTAAAAGATCTATGTTTTTGATTGGTTGACTTGCAAAAAGAAGGTAAGAATAAGAATAAGAAGCGTTTATTTGCCAGAATACAGGTTATAAGGTTCTTACAAAAAATTGTTTTGTTATACCAGAGTAAATACAAATTCGGGGCAACTCCCCGCTAATCAACGCTAAATTTTGTCAGTGTGTGCGTGCGCGCCGCATACGTATTGGCGCGCTCACATACAAACCGCGCTCGGGCGTTTCTATGAAGATGACCTACTCATTTGTATTTACTCTGGTTATACGGACCATAGAATAGTTTAGAACGGCTTACCACTGGGTAAGACACTGGTCTAGTCTGTGCTGACGCGGAAGAGGTTCCCGAGCTCGTCGAGCAGCGTCTCGTGGCGGAACGAGATGCGGATGTTGGGCACGTTGGTGCGCGTGATGTCGTTGCCCTCCGTGCCGTCCGTCATGTAGTCCGCGCCCACCCAGTACTGCTTCAGCTGCCGGACAGAGAAAAAGCTTCAGTGAAGACTTGAGCAGTACTACGCTACTGCTTCAGCTGCCGGGCATAGGGCAAAGCTTCAGTGAAGACTTGAGCAGTACTACGCTACTGCTTCAGCTGCCGGGCAGAGAAAAAGCTTCAGTGAAGACTTGAGCAGTACTACGCTACTGTTTCAATTGCCGGGGATAGCGCAAAGCTTCAGTAAAGATTTGAGCAGAACTCCAGTACTGCTTCAGCTGCCGGGCATAGGGCAAAGCTTCAGCGAAGACTTGAGCAGTACTACGCTGCTGTTTCAACTGCCGGGGATAGCGCAAAGCTTCAGTAAAGACTTGAGCAGTACTACGCTACTGTTTCAACTGCCGGGGATAGCGCAAAGCTTCAGTGAAGACTTGAGCAGTACTACGCTACTGCTTCAACTGCCGGGCATAAGACTATAGGCTTCAGTGAAGATTTAAGCAGAACTCCAGAACTGCTTCAGCTGTCGGACAGAGAAAAAGCTTTAATGAACACTTGAGCAGTACTCTGCTACTGTTTCAACTGCCGGGGATAGCGTAAAGCTTCAGCGAAGACTTGAGCAGTACTACGCTACTGCTTCAGCTGCCGGACAGAGAAAAAGCTTCAGTGAAGACTTGAGCAGAATTCCGCTACTACTTCAGCTGCCGGGCATAAGACCATAGGCTTCAGTAAAGATTTAAGCAAAACTCCAGAACTGCTTCAGCTGCCGGGCATAATATCATACAGCTTCTGTGAAGACTTGATCAGGGCAGCAGATCAACAGCCGTGGATGAAGCAAAGCTTCAGTGGAAACGTTTGCGTTAGTAACCTGCCAGCTAAACCACTCGTATCTGCATATCTTGGCCTTGTCTTCACTTTGGTGAAAAACGGACTTTATTTAACTTAAAGAACCATAAGATAATCCACCTCTGTGGTAGGCAGAGAAAAAATAATAGACATAGGTTGGCCCCTCTGGTATTTCATATTCTTGCTTAAAAACAGTTTCATTATACCTCGTGCGGGAACCCGGACATGAGCACCGAGTTGCGGGCCAGCTCGCACATGTCGCACGAGCTCAGCTTCCACGCCTGCGCCGCGATGCTGTACTCCTCCATCAGGGGCTCCTGCAAACATTGCCAGCTTGAAGAGCAGCCACAAAATTTGCTTGGAAAGCACTTGATGAACTTCTACAATAATTAGTAATCGGTAGGTAGCTTGGACGAATAAACCACTGGACACGAAACCTACAAGATTTCTAAGGAAACACGATCAACCACTTTTTGCGGGGGGAGAGGTTTGACAATTGTCAAATAATGACATTTAGTGCTGGGAAAAGATCGTAAATTTTTATCGATAGTTATGTAAATGAATGAATGAATGAACCTAACGAGATAAATGAATTATGGATTGATTTAATATTGAAAGTTTCTTTAATTGAAAGACTATAATTAATTATTGTATCGTGTTTATTATAGTGCCATTGGTAAATCATAGGTACAAATAATATTACAAATTATTCATATAGGTAGGTAACTAGGTGAAATATTTTTTTGCTGTGTTATCATTATCAAATTCGTAAAACAATAAACAAGTAATATTCTGTTACGATCGACAGCTAACTAGCTTTTGGTCTCAACAAAAAATGTTATAATCTGTCTCACGTCACGGACAAAAGTTTCATCAATAGCCTATTTCTATACATTTCATGAAACACAATTTGATAACATTATGACAATGTATTGCTTTGTAGCGCTTGCAGTACGGATGCACTATCTGAGAATATTTAATTCTTATCTAATGTTGTTGATATTCTTATGTTTAGGTCATTCGAGAAGACCTCCTAGTACTTATTTCAGTTTTGAAGACGTCGGTATATCCTAACTTCATTGATTCCAGAGCAATTTCGCGTTTCCGCTGTAAGCTGGATATTATCTTTGGTCGAAGATGTGTACACAGGGTACCTATACTGTTGATGAGGGGTATTTCTTTTAGGGTTTTGTGCAGAATCGCGGAATATCCTGTCTCCTTGTTTTGCTTTCATAGATCGTTTCCTTTAAGTCTTAGAGTGGGTGCTTGTGCTTCCTCCTGAATAATGNAATCCAACCAAATTAAATATGCTACATGTTTTAAGCATTTACATGTACAATGAGTACTTTTTAAAATGACGTAATCATATTTTGTTTACATATCAAATTTTATTTATTTTACGAAAAAATTGCTACTATAATAGATTTAAAATGTACTTACGCGTGATAAGAAACATTTCTTGTGTGACCGGAATAATTTTTGCAATAAAGTACGGCGCATTGACCCATTTTTCGTGATATTTTTACTCTTCGAGAGCTCGCGTCATACTGACAAAGTGACAACCTGACAACATTTACCATGGCTAATTTAGCCTTGGCAAGTGCTAGCGGGGTAAAGACGAAAACGTCACTCGTTACGCGTCCAGTGGTTTAATCGTCCAAGGTAGGTAGTTACTGATGACATAACTTGGGCACCAGATGGGTACAGATTTCTTCACCAAAATAAGGTCCAGAAGGTGCTAACATTAAACTAGGACCAGGGTTGTGAGGAGAATCTAGGGGATGCCTAGTAGTGGGATGAAGTAGCTAAAGCTTTCAGAAAAAAACGCATTCGAAAGTTAGAGGTAAAACAGCCGGTTCCATTCGACGTCTGTGGTGGGAGATTGCGGGAGAAGCGCACTTCCATCGGTCTGATCACCACTTTCCATCTGGTGAGATGTAGATCAAGAGCTTTTTCTAGTGGGTAAAAAAGAGAAGAATTACTATGATCATTAGAAGCTACTATCCTAGATTGCATCTCACTTAACATCACGGATTGCGGACCTGCCTGTTCTGCATTAAACAAATTTAGAAGTCTCCGCCACACCAACCTTTGTGTAATGAAACTGCAGCGGGTCGTCAGTGCTCAGGGTTACTCTTAGCCCCCTGGCGAAGAAATCCGGCAGTGGGTTGCGGTGATACCGCAGGAATAGCGAGTTGTTGCTTAATGGCGACATTGCGATGAAGATCTGCGCTAAGTAGTACATGTACTGGAGAACTGGCACCTGGAATTGATAGAAAATAGGACCACACTTAACATCGTCACGTGTGTCATTTGCACCATCGAGGGTAGCTTTGAAGTTGGAAATCAACTTAGCAGCAAAAA